AGGCTGAGGCTGAGGCTGAGGCTGAGGCTGAGGCTGAGGCTGAGGCTGAGGCTGAGGCTGAGGCTGAGGCTGAGGCTGAGGCAGGCTGCTGAGGCTGCTGAGGCTGAGGCTGAGGCTGAGGCTGAGGCTGAGGCTGAAGGCTGAGGCTGAGGCTGAGGCTGAGGCTGAGGCTGAGGCTGAGGCTGAGGCTGAGGCTGAGGCTGAGGCTGAGGCTGAAGGCAGACTGAGGCTGAGGCTGAAGCAGGCTGAGGCTGAGGCTGAGGCAGGCTGAGGCTGAGGCTGAGGCAGGCTGAGGCTGAGGCTGATGCAGGCTGAGGCTGAGGCAGGCTGAGGCTGAGGCCGAGGCTGAAGGCAGACTGAGGCTGAGGCTGAAGCAGGCTGAGGCTGAGGCTGAGGCAGGCTGAGGCTGAGGCTGAGGCAGGCTGATGCTGAGGCAGGCTGAGGCTGAGGCTGAGGCTGATGCAGGCTGAGGCTGAGGCAGGCTGAGGCTGAGGCTGAGGCAGGCTGAGGCTGAGGCTGAGGCTGAGGCTGAGGCTGAGGCTGAGGCTGAGGCTGAGGCTGAGGCTGAGGCTGAGGCGACTGCCGTTGCCACTGCGACTGTCATCGCGAATGCGACTACGACTGCGAGAACAGCAGAATTCTACAACTGGATTCTCATCTGAATCTTAAGGGGAATGCTTCCAGACATGCTCCTACACATCGCTGTTAGGTTGCTTTGCCGGGATAATTCTTTCTCTTCTCCTTCTCTTTTTCTCTCCTTCCCTTTCCCTTTCTCTATCTCTTTCTCTTTCCCATTCCCTTTCTCTTTTTCTTTTTCTGTTTCTTTCTCTTTCTCTTTCTCTTTCTCTCTCTCTCTCTCTCTTTCTCTTTCTCTTTCTGTTTCTCTTTCTCTTTCTCTTTCTCTTTCTCTCTTTTTGTTTCCTCTCTCTCTGTGTCTCTCTTTCTCTCTCTCTGTCTCTCTCTCTCTCTCTTTCTCTCTCTCTCTCTCTTTTTTGTTTCATCTCTCTCTATATCTCTCTCTCTCTCTCTCTCCCTCTCTTTCCTGTCTATATTTCCCCCCCCTCTCTCTCTCTCTTTTTTTTCTCTCTCTCTCTCTGTCTCCTTGTTTTTGATGTTGCGAAATCAAATCTTCGATTTGTATTCGGGGCGCTCGATTTGGTTTTCGGGGCGCTCGATTTGACGTCTGTGCGAAACCAAACGAGTTGGGAGGATTTCGACGTGCGCGCGCGACGTCTTGCGCGCGTGTGCCTCATGTTTTGTTGCCAGCGGCTCTTGCGACAGCGCGCGCGCAGGGGCGTTTGAACCATTTCCACGTGCGCGCGCGAGTGGCCCGCTCGGTAGCATGGTATGAAAGCGTTGAGAAACAACCAGAGGCTTTCTAGAAATCGCAGGAGCGCGGGCGCATTTTTATGTTTTTGTGCAATTCTGGTTGCGCAGCCATGTTGCTCCATATGTTATCGAAACGTAATTGTACATACTGTTTGGGCACATGATCTGTATATATATTATATATATATATATAATATAAAAAAAACGATTTCGGCGCGCGCAACGACGCGCGTGCGTGCTCTTCGTCCGCGCTTTGCAGGGCATTCTTGACAACTGATAAGTTTTGAGAAAGGAGTGGGCGCGAATCGTAATTTTTGCAGCGGATGAGGGGGGAGTGGCCGTTGCCGGCCATGCCGGGGCGGCATGAATTCACTTTTCGGGCGGGCGAGGGGTCAGGGTCATATATGAATTTTCTACCGCAAGAAAGGGGGTAACCCAGGGGTCGATTCGAGTCTATTCTTATAAAGGAGAATTGGGTGCTGTTCGCAGTGAGTTGTCAGTTCCACTGCTCGTGCACTCGTTCCACCAGCCCGCCCGCGCCCTGGTCTGCAGAGCCCATGCGGCGGCGATTGCGATGAGTGCTTGGCGTTGGTTGGTGCGTCTTCGTGGCCGCGCTAGCCCGCGCGTGCTCGCGCGCGCAGGGGCCAGATAGTTCGGCGCGGCCGACGCGGCCGCGGTGGCCCTGGCCGCCGGGTGCTCTGGCGGGCCCTCCAGCGCGAGTCGGCGGCTTGAGCGGGCGCGGTATTGTGGCAACGTCGACGACGGTATGCGCGATGATGGTAGCGGTGATGCTGGCGACGATGGTGACAGCAGCGACGGCAAGGCCAATGGCGCTGCCGATGCTAACTGATCACGCCGATGGCGATGGCGATGCCCTCGCGTCGGCGATGGGGGTCGTGGGGGGAGTTCGACATGCGCGCGCGGCCGACGCGCGCGAGTGGCCCGCGTGGTATTATTCAATCCCTTCGCTCATTCCGCTGGCCCGTATTGTTTTTGCGCTCGCGTTCGCGGGCCGCGCAGCGCTGCCGTTTGGCGCTGCTGCGGTTGCGGGCGCGACTCCTCGTGGATGCTTCCTGGTGTCTCGTCGGAGGGTTCTCCTGTGTGGCAGGGCTCTTGGGGGCTTCCTGGGGGCGCCCTGGGTGCCTTCTTGGCGCCCCCCGGGGGATCCCCGGGCCCTCTCGGGGGGCTCTCCGGGGCTTCTAGGCGCAGCCTGGGCGCCTCTTGGGGCCGAGGGCTCGAAGTCTGGGAGCTTCCGGGGAGTTTTTTTGGAGGCCTCCTTCGGCCTCTGGAGCGCTGGGGCGCGTCTCGGGAGTTCCGCGGAGCCTATAGGGAGCTCCTCGGAGGCCCGCGGAGGGGGGGCTCTCGTGGAAATGCGGGGGCCGAAGGTTTAATGGGGGCTCTTCGGAGGCCTGGGGGTGGGCCCAGGGGGCGGTTCTGAGGCCGGGCGCTCGAAGTGTCAGTTGGGCCCCCCGCGAGTGTTTTTCCTGAACGTGTCTTGGGGCTTTCCAGTGCCGTCTCGGGGGAGACTTGGGCCGTCTTGGATCCCCGTGGGCCGTTCTGGGGCTCTCTCGGAGGTTCAGTGGGCCGTCGCGAAGCGATTTCGGGGGCTTCTTGGGCCGTCTTAGAGCGTCGGCCCGCTGAAAACCTTCAGAAACCACTTGGGCATCGTTGAATTTTGCATCGAGGGGGCGTTTTGGGCGCGGTCTTGGAGTGGTTGAAGCCGTCTGCAGGCAATCTTGGGCATCCTGGAGCGACTTCCAGTGGCTCGGGGCCCTCCGAGACCGCTGCGGGCGCCTCTTGAGGCGCTCTTGAAGGCCCTGGCGCAGCCCCCAGGAGTTCTGGCATCCGTGACGGAGGCCGCCCGGGAACCCCCGGGATTTGCATGGCGTGCTTTTCGCCCAGGCACCCCGGGGGCCGCGCGCGCGCGAACTTCGAGTCTTCTTGAGCTGCTGCCCGAGATTATGGCGCGCTCCTGGCCCGTTGGGCCGGCGAATTTTTGACGCGGGCCGTGCCCGCCCCCGAGTGCGCGCGCGTGGGCGTTCGAATAATTTCGCCACGCGGCGCGAGGGGCCTGTTTGGTCGAATGTGATTGAAAAGTGGCAAACCCAATGGTTTCCTCTAGCTATTGTGAAAGCGCGCATTTTTGATTCAGAGAACATGACATGTTGCAGAGCCGTGTCTCCTTTTTGGTTCACAGAACATGAATTGTTACATTCCATGCGAACCTGGAGTCGCTCGCGTGCAGTCCGTCTGTTTTAAAAGGTGTTCTTGAAACTGCTGATTGTTGATGTAAGAGCGTGCGCGTTTTTTTTTTTTTTTTTTTTTTTTTTTTTTTTTTTTTTTTTTTTTTTTTTTTTTTTTTTTTTCTCTCTCTCTCTCTCTCTCTCTTCCGCGGGGGACGGGTGGGGGGCGATGGGGGTTCGCATGGCATGGTGTGAATTCATATTTGGGATGGGCGATTTTGCGTCGAGTCCGACGAGGGAGGTGCATCCGGATAATGAATGTTGTGCAGTCTATGTGGAACCACTGATGGGGTCTAATCTAGGTGGTGCAATATGTTGTGCGCCCTGTGCTGTACAATCTATGTTGTTGTGCAATCCATGACTTGCAAGTCTTGCGCGTTTGGAACTATGTTGTGCAGTTTGTGCAGCAATGCATGCCGCGCAGTTTATGTTGTGCTGTTTAGGTCGTACAATCTATGTTGTGCACTCTATATTGTGCAATCTTGGTGGTGCAAACTATGTGGTGCAATTGGTTTTAATAAACGAGTTGACACATGTTATGTTTTTGCAGACGTCCCACACACCCACCCGCAACTTGGTCTGCAAAACCCATGCGGTGGCGATTGCGATGAATGCTCGGCGTTGGCTGGTGCATCTCTGCGGCCGCGCCATCCCTGGCACGCGCGCGCGGCGGCCAGCAACTTAGCGCCGCCGGCGCGGCCGCGGTGGCGCTGACCGCTGGGCGCATCCCAGCGGGCACTTCATTGCGAGTCGGCGACTTGGGCGGGCGCGGTATCATGGCAGCGTCGACAACTGTCAGTAGACACGATGATGATAGTGGCGATGCTGGTGGCGATGTTCGCACCGACGCGCGCGGCCAGTGCGGGCGCCGATGCTGATCACGCTGGCGACGATGACGGCGTCCTCGCGTTGGCGATGAAGGTTTTTGGAAAGCGTTGGACATGCGCGCGCGGCCGACGCGCGAGAGTGGCCCGCATGCTTTTATTTGATTCGGATCGTGCCCCCCCCGCACGCGTGTAAGGGCGTGCGAATGATGTCGGCATGGGGCGCCAGAGGCCCGTTTGGCAGAATTCCAAGAACATGTTGAACAACCGATGGCTTTCATCAGGATTTGCAGGAGCGCGCGCAAGTTTTGTGGTTTTAAGCTGATGTTGCGCGAACATGTGTGTTGGATTTTTTGGGGACCCTCGGTTTTGACATCGTTACGAAACCGCCGGCTTTAAACAAATTTCGGCATGGGCGCGCGACGGCGCGCGCGCGCACTTCGTCACATTTGTTGCAAAGGATTTTTGCGAAAGCGCGCGCGAAAGGGCGTTCGAACGATTTGGACATGCGCGCGCGAAGCCCGTTTGATAGCGTTTTCACAATGTGTTGACAACCCCCAAACAAATCGCAAGAGCGCGCGCGCAGGTTTTTTTTGGGGGGGAGGGGGCGCTCGATTTTGAAATCTTGCTTCGCCCGACTTTTTCGTCCCTGCCCTGTTTCCGCCTGGGACGGTGAGGGGGCATTTCTTTTGACGGGGGCTGGCAGGGTGTGCTTCGAGCTGAATCGATTGCTTGCTCAGTGGGCAAGCCTCGCGCTTCCGACTGTCCCGCCGGCGACAGCCGTGAACCGCGCTAGGTGGCGCGGCGGGCCTGTTGACCCTCTCGCAAGATACGCGCGTGAGCCATTGCAGCGGCGACTAGCCTCCCTTCCGTATGGTATATTTCCTACGAAGTTAGTCTTTTCTCATTCGTCGACTCTTTCGCTGTAGCTGGCAAGTGTGGGCTCCGTCTTCGGCGTCTCGCCCTTCCCGCGCGTGCTGGCGCCGGCGCAGGGGCCGGTGGGTGTGGGCCCCAATCGGTTTGCCGACGTTTCCCGGAGCAGTTGCAGGACCCGCTGCCGCAATTGCTGTTTGCACATGCGCGGGTTCTGGCTTTTTGGCTGTGCGTTCCGACTTCGATACTAATACCTCCCTGAGGATCAAGCCTGGTTCCCTAAACCTTTTTCTGCGCTCGCACGGATTTCGGCTCTGGAGCGGGTGCTCTGCTTGAGTTTCTCGAAAAGGCGGGTCTTGGCGCCATGGCAACGCGCCCCACTTTGGGAAACCGACCTCACGGAGCAGCTACGGAGCGGAGATGATCACGTTCAGCTCCAGGTTCGCGATGGCTTTGCACGTCTTGCTGGGTGCCGCTGAAGTTTTTCCCAACAATCCTGTGGTGTTGGGTCTTCGTTTTGAAGAGAGCGCCCCGCGACACTCCTCTCCTCCTTCCGCTCCTCCCTCCTCCCACACTTGCCCTTGCCCTCCGCATGTCATCAATTTCGGCAAACCCCGCACTCGCTTCGTGGCCTCATTGGGAGCTCTACCAGTGGCGACGTTCGCATGTCGGCGTCACGCCCGTTTCGGCACACCTTTCACGCGTTTCGTGGCCGTCACAGGGAGCTCCACCTAAGGCCCCGGTGGCGATGTTCGCCTGTAGGCGTCACGCCTGTTTCGGCACACCCCTCAAACGTTACGTGGGTCCATGGGGAGCTCGACTTAAGGCCCCAGTGGTGACGTTCGCATGTGGGCGTCACGACCAGTTCGGCACACCGCTTACACGTCTCGCGGCCCCACAGGGAGCTCCACCTCAGGCCCCAGTGGCGACGTTCGCATGTGGGCGTCGCGCATGTTTTGGCACACCGCTCCCGCTTTGCGTGGCCCCATGCGGAGCCCCACCTGAGGCCCCAGTTGCGACACTCGCATGTTGGCGTCACGCACGTTTCGGCACATCCTCACACGTTTCGAGGCCCCATAGAGAGTTCCACCTGAGGTTCTGGTGGCGACGTTCGCATGTGGGCGTCACGTCCGTTTCGGCACACCACTCACACGCATCGTGGCTCCATCAAGAGCTCCACCTAAAGGCCCCCCCCAGTGGCGACTTTCGCCTGCGGGCGTCACGCCTGCTTCGGCACACCCCTCGCGTGTTTCGTGGCCTCGGAGGGAGCCCCACCTAGGGCCCCATGGCAACGTTCGCATGTGGGCGCCACGCCTGTTTCGGCACAACCCTTGCGCGCTTGGTGGCCTCATAAGGAGCTTCAGTGCCACAGATCGCATGCGCCCCCCCTCCCCCTCCCCCTCCCCCAGTTCGACACGCCCCTCGCGCGTTTTGTGGCCCTCACAGTCAGCTCCGCCGAAGGCCCCGATGGCACGGTCCGCATGCGGCCCTGGGAAGCCCACCGAAGACCAGACGCACAGCTGCGGTACTGACGACGGCATAATTATGTTCGGGTCCTTCGCAAGGGAAATTGGTTGTTTGTCTGCCAACTTCGCCCGACAGGCTTGAGGGAGAGGAGGGGCAGCGGAAAAGCACAGCAGAGGCAGGAGCAAGGAAGGGACAAACCCAAGCAGTGCTGTGAGCTAGAGAGGCCACGCGTTTGGACCAAACAGTTGGGTCCCTCATCTAGCGATGCGCTGGCACTAACCACACATTACACGGCATTGCCATGGCGCGGGGGGCAGTGGTACAGCGCAGTGTTATTGTTGATGACGTTTGTGAAAATGATGGGATGATGATGGTGATGGTGATGGTGATGATGATGAGGTTGATGAGGGATCATGCTGCTGATGATGACGACGAAGATGATGATGCCGATGCTGATGATTCTGATTATGATGATGATGATGCAGATGATGCTGATGCTGATGATAATGATGATGGTGGTGGTGATGATGACGACGATGATGTTTATTATGATGGTGATGATAATGACGATGATGATGATGCTGATTATGGTAATGCTGATGATACTGCTGATGATGATGAGGAAGAAGATGATGATGATGCTGATGCTGATGCTGATGATGATGATGATAATGGTGATGGTACTGATTGATGCTGCATAAGATGATGACTGTTATGATGATGGTGGTGGTGATGATGATGACGATGTTGATGATGGTGTTGGT